GTTTTTTTTTTTTTTTTTTTTGGAGATAGGGTCTCTTTGTGTAGTTTAGGCTGGCCTTGAACTCACTATGTAGCCCAGGCTGGCCTCAAACTAGCCGCAATTCTCCTGCCTCAGCCTCCCAAGAGCTGTGATTACAGGCGTGTACCACCACATTCAGCAGGCTGGAGTGGGATTCTGACCTAGGAAACCTAGTTCCACAGTTTCCTGCCTCTTCATCTTTAGAGATTCATTTACAAGTTTGTCTTCCCCATCACTGGGGTAAAATACCCAACATTTGCAAATAAAGGAGGAGAGGTTTCTTCCGGCTCACGGTTTCAGTGTGTAGTAGAGGGAGTCTGCTCCACCCATGGTGACCAGAAAGCAGTGCAAGAAAGGGGAGGAGTGTTGTAAAGACACTCATGAACTTGCAGAGCTGCTTCGGAAAGTAGAAAGTATAATGGGAAAAGTGTGTGCAAAGCGAAGTACATTGTGGGAGATTAATGGCAATGTGCCTTTTATTGTGATTAAAATTTTACATTTAAACACTTCCTGTATTTTGATCACACCTCATACACATTAGTCTTGTACAGAACTGATTTGTTCCTGGGGTTACCAGTGCCTGCTTCTCAGTATACACATTCAGACTCCCCGGTCCACTGTCCTCTTCACAAAGGCTGAATCCGGGAGACATTCGCAGCGTTCATAGCTGGAGTTCCATAGTCGGAAAGTCCCTGCTTTTGGCTTTCAGCAAGACTCCGGCAGAAAGCACTGCTCCCCGATTGCCGGCCAAGGAGGAAAACCCATGAACACACACAGCGGTGCGACTGGGAATGGAAATGGAGGTTACAGAGACTGCGTCCCCAGTAGCCCCTGTGTGCTGGCTGTGAAGGTGTGAGCTCACATCTGCCTGTGCCCAGGTTCCCTTCCAGGGGAAGGAAGCCTTGCTGCCTGGCAAAAACAAAAAACAAAAACCTCTGCCTGCATACAGATACAGGCAGGGGTAGAGTGCGAGATCCTCTCAACCTTCAAGTCCCAGTTCTGGTCCTCCCTAGGTACCCTCATGGGGCGTAGACACTTGTCTTCTAACCCTTGTTCAAGGTCAAACTCTGTCCCTTGCAATCAAAACGGTAAATACATTCTAATATATTGAACCAATCTGCTATCAAGAACTCTGAATTTTTCTAATTTTTGCTACTGCCAGTAATGCTTGATAAACCTTCTCGTTCTTTCAGCCCGAGTGAATATGTCAATAGAGGATGATTCTTAAACTGGAATTGCTTTCTACATTTAAAAATGCATTAAGTTTTTATCAATACCTTTTAAAATCCACTGATATTGCTGATTCTAAAGTGCTATGTCGATGCACCGACCTTCCAGGGGTACATGGGGGACCCAGTTCCTCACCCCACACACACACACACACACACTGGCATTTGCTAAACCCCTCTTTTCTTTATTATGATTGATACAGTGAAAGGTTTAAATTCAAGTGCTGCAAATGAGACCAAATAAGTTGTTCTCGTTGCTTTAATCTGAATTTCTTTAAAGTGTATGATTAAATATCCTTTGATGTTTATTGATCACTTGTTACTACTCTTTACATTTAATTCCTATCCTGGATTTATCTTTGTTGTAAAAGGAAAGATGAGGGTACACCTATTTTTAAGTGCATAAGTGGCCTTTCACTACCACATTGCTCTAAAAGCTACCTTTATCATAAAATTCATTCCCTAATACACTTCAAACTAATCATGAACTTTGATCTGTGTCATTTATTTGTCCTCTGGTCCATAACGATTCTTTTATTTTGGAATTTTGGTTTTGGGGTCTTGATATGGGGTCTCGCTATCCAGTTCAGGCTGGACTTGAACTCACTATGTACCCTAGGCTGGCCTCAAACTTGACTTGACCTCCTGCCTCAGACTCTTGATTATTAAGAATTACAGGCATAGGCCACCATGCCTGATTCTGGTCTTACCAATTCTTATAACAAATGAAATAGAATACAAATAACCTGTTAAATCATGTATACTCTGAAATTGGGTATGAAGATTAAATTTAACTCTATGTTGTAGGTATGAGACACACCTGAAATGTTATATCAAAATGAATGAGTAATTGTAAACAAAAGAAAGCATGGTAGCAGTATTATCGTCAAGGATATGCATGCATCCTGGACAAACAAAACTGAATTGAGTCAGATGGTCTCTATATGATTAAGATTATAGCAGGACATGGTGACACACACCTGTAATCCCAGCACTCGGGAGGCTGAGGCAGGAGGATCACTGTGAGTTCGAAACCAGCCTGGGCTACACAGTGAGTTCCAGGTCAGTCTCAACTACATAGTGAGAGCCTGTCTCAAAAACAAACAGACAAAAAAAAAAAGTATAGTCCACAATGGAGATAGTCATTATACTTCTAGGCACAAAGTAACATAGCCCTGAAATATCTGGGGAAAAAAATAAAGAAAGTACATGAGGAGAAAGATGTGTACACAGCAGTGGAGAGAAGTCCAGAACCAGTCAGACAAAGTATATAATCAACTATAAAGATAAAGAGGTGATTTGGCTGCCCTGCTAATGTAATATACAAAAGGAATTTCTCAAAGTTTGTGATAATCGAAAGTTAAGGGCTGGTATGAAAATGTTAAAGTATATTATTAAGTAGTTTTATTTAAGACATAAAATAATAAGCTGATTCCCCTTTTAAAATAATAAAGAAACCAACATACTTTCCACCTTCCATTACTTCCACTGACACTAGCTTGAACTTTCATGATTTATTACATTTCTCAAACAGCTGTCCAGTGTAAAAATAAATGAACTCTAGTGTTATGGCCTTAAATTCCAGCCATTAAGATCTAGTAATTTT